ACCTAATGTCTGAGAAAGAAGAACTATTTGGTGGAAGGAAAAACAGGGGATGCTTTAACATTTGCGGATCAGCTTCACTTGAGAGGTTTTTAGGGGCTCCGTTTAGCTCTGTCCGCTTCAATCCAATTAGAAAAATCAAAGCCAGTCCGGTGACACTTTGCGGATTGATCTGGCCACTCGATACAAATTCAGTCACCTTAAAGTCATCATCGTCACAGCGTACAAGCGCTGTAAAACCTCTTCAAGAATTCATGTCGCCTCTCCATCCTTCTGCTGTTGTTTCACCTCAAGGCAAAACGATGATGTCGCGCCGCGGGCCGGTGTGCGACCGTTCCAATGGTGATGATGATGATGATGATGATCAATAATTTATGCTGAACTCAACTCACTTCACATCCCAATAAGCAGCAGTTTGTCAGACAAAACATTTTGTCATGAATAGGCTCGCTGAATGCAAATCCAAAAAGGGTAATGTAAAAGACAGGCTAACAAGTAGCATTTATTGGGCGGTTAGATCATATCACAATACTCACAGGCATATAGTCTTTCTTGTATGTGACAAATTACTATTACTGCAGCTTACTGAAGACATGTGGCATTGAAATAATAGCAGTACACTGGTACCTCTACTTAGAAAATTAATTGGTTCTGGAAAAAATGTCTTAACTAGAAAATTTTGTAAGTAGAGACGCGTTTTCCATGTAAATGCCCTAATCTGTCCCAAGCCCCCTCAAAATTCAGACATAAATGTTTTCTAAAGCATAAAAATGCATCAAAATATGCAACAATTAAAAAAAAAAGTTATTCTTGAAAAACAAATCTTCAAATATGTTAACATTGTGAGCGACGAAGTATCTTGACACCATTTTGCTTACTCTTCATATTATATCTGGTGAACAGTAAGTGGTTTCAAATGTCTTCATTAGAACCTGAAAAAGGTCAACTATATTTCATTTGAACATCCCGATATATTATGCACCTGCAAAAACCTTTTCACCCGCCAAAGCTTTTGCTAGAATTCCACATTGTCGGACTTCACGAAACCTTAAAAATGGACAATACTTGGGCTAATAACCCAATAATATGTAAACATGTGATTTGCATGAGCAGATGAGACACTGACAAACCTTTGAGGTGTCGGATGAACGGGTATATGTGTATAATCCTGGAGGTGCCCTACATTACAGGCTATTATTCAATGCGTGAAGTGGTTGAGCTGTCTGTGTCTTTGTGTATGAGTGTGTGTGCTTGTGCGTGCAAGTGAGAGAGTGAACAATAGGCTCTCTAATGACTGATCCTAATACTGTACACGTGCCATGCGCAAGCCAGCCAACCAACACGCACACCACAGGATTTGTTGTACCTCTGCATGGAAGGCCTGACTTAATATATGGATTTATTGCTAAATAAACTATCAGTGTCATTCCAATCCTAGACTGATTAGTTTAGGTTATTCAAAGAATTATTCCCTAATTGCAAATACTGGGATAAAAACAAATAGTGTTTTCTTCAAACCTTTAGCAACAAGTAAATGATTCATTTCTCTCCAGCGTCTCATATGGCGATGAAACTTCCGGTTTAGGGCACAGGCAACAACAGTGACACACTTTTGTTATCGGTTTGACATGTGCAGTCGGTCTTTGCTCAAAGCAAAAAGATATTGCCACGGTAGAGCGTTGAAGTCCAGCGCCCGCTAGCCAGTAGCGTTAACAGTTTAACATAGCGTTCATCCCTCCCGCTAGCCAAATTCCGTCATTTTCAGACAGTCGGTCAGCGCCGTTGAAAACATGGTGCGGTAACTATTGATTTTAAAGCATGTGTGTTGAAATTAGGAATCAGCGATTAACGATACCAGGTATCGGTATTGGGCCGATACGATCATGTTGTTAAATATTGGGTACTTGCGAATTCTGCCGATACCAGCCACCGATAGTTAAGCCTCCCCAGAAGAAAATCTGACCTTGAGTAAATCCTCCTTGCCACTAGTTGGAGTTCCACTGCGACAGTTGATGCTGATTTTTACTAATATCGGTCTGAAGAAAATGCTGGTGTCAACCAAACCTAGTTGAGAGTTAATCGAATTCTAGTCAACAAAATGCTCTCTAAGTCGTACAAAAAAAAAAGTGTTCTGTGCGCTGAAAGGATGACATGTTCAAAGGTAGAGGTAGGGGGAGTGAGGGCCACAACTTCAAGGATCATTTGCAGACCCATTCAAGCTCTTGTTAAGCGAGCCTAGCCCTCCCCCAACCGCTCCCCCTCCTACACCCGCCAGACAACAGTCTCCTACCATTGGAGTTGAAAAGAAATACGCTGGCAGAAGGAGGGGCTGCGGAGTTTTTTTCACAATAGGAAGCTTGCATGTGATCTAGATTCATGTGGCTCCCACAAACAAGTGGCGAGCATGAAATACTATTCTTACGCCAAATAGGTAAGTCAATATTTTGAGAGCTTTGCTGCTTGTTTGCCGCCCCTACAATTTTTGGAAAACTCAGTCCCAGTTTAACCAGCAACATGAAATTTGGTAGGCATGTTTATCATGAGTACAACTCCCCCCAAAAAACCCCATGCCCACAAAGACACAGCAAGTTTGCCATTTTAGTTTGAAGCAGACAATTTGCTGTTATTTTACAATATTTCACAAAGCAATGTGAAATTTGGTTGGCATGTCTATTATGAGTAGACCCACAAAAAAATTCTCAAGAACCAAAGAAACCAATTTTTGAAGCGATCATTTTACTTTTATTTTGGCAGCTTTTGAGTCAAAAATTCAGCCCGTTTCACTGAGCAGCATGAATTCGGTTGGCATGTCAATCATGAGTAGATACACAAAATTCTCACTCAAGAACCCAAGGTTGGTTTAAAGTGACCATTTCAGTGTCATTTTATGAATTTTTCCATCGATTCTGCCCCCAAAACCAGTTTCACGAAGCAACGTGAAATTTGGGAGGCACGTCTATCATGAGTCGACCCACAAAAAAGTCACAAGAAGCAATGTCAATTTTGACTTGAAGTGACCATTTTTGTGCTTTCTACTGCCATCATTATTGTGTTGTTTTATATTTTTTGTTGTTGTACGAATAATTTCTTTTTCCATATTCCACAGCGGTGGTGGTTTTCAAGTGCTCTATAAATACATTTGAGCGATTATTATTGTAGCAACTTTTCCTTTGAGGTGTTTTTTTTTTTTTAAGACTTACCTGGCAGGCTCTCAGGGACAATTGCTAAATCATCATCGTCGTCATCATATTCACATTGACAAGAAGAATAATAACGGTTTTCCATTTGGTGTGGCTGCCAGGTTATTTTGAGTGCGTTAAATGAAATGGCTCAAATAGGACAAGTGGACGAAACGAGAATGGAGGGAGTTGCTGCTCGGACTCCTTGGTAACCAAAATACATTTGCAGAACAAGAGGGGCCGGGCCACGCCCCTCCTACTACTGTGTGTGTGTGTGTGTGTGTGTGTGTGTGTGTGTGTGTGTGTGTGTGTGCGTGTGAGTGTGTTTGTTTGTTGGTGCTAGAGTGATGATGGGGGTGCAAGGGGCGGGGGGGGGTGAGAGACAGAGGGAGGGAGCAATCGAGAGTGAGATGGAGGGTTGGAGTCTGATTGCCAGCATAGTGGACGCTCGCACCGAGCGATAATGTGAGCGCTGAGCTCGCGTCTTTTCTCATTGCCTTGGATTTTATCCCAGTTGCGGAGTCATGGTGTTCATTGGGACCTCGCTGAAGTCGGTCATTAAGTACTTCAAACGAAAAGGTACATGGCTAGTTTGTATTTTTTGAACGTGATGGATTTTTTTTTTTCCCCTCTCGGGCAATATTGCAACTTTATTCCAGCTTCGTTTTTCTTATGTTGCCGCTTTATTTTCCTCATTTTAAAACTTTAAATCTTGTCATGTTGCATTTTTAGTTGACTGGTGTTATGGCTTTTTTTTTTTTTTTTTTTGGTCTTAAAATATTTCTTCTCGCTGTTTCGCTTGATGACTTTGTTCTCGTAACCGGAATTTGATCCTTGTAATGTTCCAATATTTTTGTCATAGTTTTCCCAACCATGTTCTCAGAAGATGACATCTTTTTTCTTAAAATACAGTTAACCCCCGCTATTCGTGGGGTATAGGGAAGGGACAGAGCCCGACCGCGTAGAATGAAAATCCAAAAATAATTGAGATTCCCAATATCTATATGGGGCGGAAAAAGTTGAATAAGCGGTGGTGTTTGTGACTATTGAGGGGAAAGGTTGCCAAGCCCCGAAAAAAATCTTGCAAATAGGTGAAAATATTGTTGCCAAACCCCATATACATGGAGGGCCACAGTATCATGTCTTTGGTCTCATTAAACTTTTCACAGATCTGAACGGCTGGATCAGATTGGCAGATATTTTGCATTCTATCCAAAATCGCTGATCGGTTGGAATCATTTGCCGATTGATCACTGTCATCATTGTCATCGGATCCGCAAAAGGAGACCATTGCAACAATCGCATTTCCAACAAACAATTTCATTCACTCCAGAGACATCCTGTGCTGCCGCTGTTAACAATCCAATGTTTCTCACCATGTTTTGTCAGAATGTATTATTTTTTTTCCCAAATGTTTCCCAATATTTTTAAATCATTTGGGCTTTTGTGGGAGTGTCAACAAGTTGTTTATCTTTTTTTTTTTCTCCAAACTCGCTAATCGGTGATGAGTTAAAATCCTGATTGTGTGTACAAGTCCAGAAAACTACAACTTTATTCTCGCCACATGACATTTTTCTCCTTCGATTGCTATAGTATAACTTCATTGTCGTCGTATTTGGGCTGTCTTTCTTGTGAAACGTCAGTGTTGTTGTAACGCTGAGATTTCATCCTCAACATTCCGAGCGGCTTCCTCATTTCAACATCAACACCTGCTCTCGTTTTCACAGCAACACCTTGTAAGCCGGAACCCACGCGGCCAGCGTATTGTATTGTACTATATGTATATTATGATCATTTTTTTCACATTTAGTGAAGTCTGCAAGAAGAGAGTGGACAGAATTAAGTCGACACTCCATGGCCTCGGAAAGCACGTGCGGATGCAGCGCCGAGCTCCAATCCGCTCGTGGCGAGTTTAATCTGAGGCCTATTTATAGCCCTGAAGCGACGTTGTCGATTATTAGCTCACATGCTGCCCCACGCCGCACTTTGCTCATCACCTTTGTCTGCGCCGTGTAGTTAATGGTTTACCTTTGTCATTTAATAAATAAATTAAATAATAGCACAAGCGTTGCGGGAGGTAAGTATCGTTTCCCGGTCGATGTTGGTAGGACAGTTTGAGAAAATCATTATTTTTCTCATTGGACCATGAAGGGATCGCATACCAACGAGTTGTTTGTTGACGCCGATACCATGGTGTCAGTTGAAAAGGTAAATCCAACATAATTTGCATTTTTTTTAAAAATCTGAGATTAACACTCAGGTAGAAAATACACACTATGAAAATTAGTTGCAACAATGATGCGGTTCTACCGGAATGCTATTCACATTTTTTATTACTAGCAACAATGTTTTGGTGAATCTTACGCGACAATAAAGCCATGAATTCATATGAAAGACAGTTTGACCTACTTGAATTTGAATTGTTAACTTCCCAAACACTTTTGACTTGCGGTCTTTCGAGCTTTCCACCCCGACAGCGTCATAAAATTCGACCAAACGAGCGTGGCGGAAACATAAAACTGTGTGCCAAAAAAAATCAGATGACAACAAATGCGTCAACTTTTCATGCCTCGTCAATTAATTCGATGGAGACGTCTGGATTGCATTTCTGAAGCACTCAACTCAACTAGAGGCCATATAAAAGAGAAATAAAGTCTGCCGACCGACCGTAATTGAGAGGCCCCTCCCCCCCTCCATTTGCAGCCTTTTCGATTTGAATTTTTTTTTTTACACTACAATGTCAATTTGAATTTGGTTAACTATTCATGGTGACTTTAAATATGAGCCCATTGCAAATCGGGACATCAAAGTGCTTCCACTTTGCAGTCGTATAGGCCCTCCTCAGCCGATACACACAAAGTCGCAGTCCGCATCCTCGCAGGCCTCATTAGCACCTGTGAAAAAGCTCTGCCACACACACACACTCCTGGCCCTTCCCCTTCCTGGCCAGTCCTCAAGCACACTTCTGTTCTGTTCGGGTCACACACACACACAATCGGTCAGGAGAAGCCGCACAGGGGAAGTGGTCCCGGTTTGACTTGGGTTCCCCGAATGGAGTTAATCCTGCACCCGGGATCACCCGCTTTGGCTTGGATACGCTCGCTTGGTAGGTGTTGATTTTGACCGGTCGACCAACAGACCCAACACATTTGCGGGCTGACCTTGCTCGGGATTCGTGAACCGCCGGAGCATTTTTTTATTTAATATCAAACTGGATGGACCGGTTTGAGGAACTACTTTGCAATCAGCTGTTCCGTTACAGGGTGTGACACCTCCGATACGTGTTATTCTCCCCTTCCTCCCTTGCCGCGAACACACACGCCCGATCGCCGGAATAAGGGAACGTTCAATTCTACGATGGCCGACTGGTGTTTTCGGAGCAGGCCGCGGGAGGTTTCTTACGGTGCCGCGTTTTGTCTCGACAGCCGTGTCTAATCTGGACGAGGAGAGCAAGTGGACGGTCCATTACACGGCGCCGTGGCATCAGCAGGACAACGTCTTCCTGCCGGGCAGCAGGCCGCCCTGCGTGGAGGACCTCCACCGCCAGGCCAAAGTCAACCTGAAGAGCGCCCTGCGAGGTAACGGCCGACGAGTCCGCAATTTCTCACCGGAAAGCTGCTCAAGCGGAACGAAACTTCGCGATGGTTACGTTTCACGTCAGGCTTCAACTATTTGACATATTCCGATAAACGATTCGACTCAAAATAAATGGTAATCTGTCAATTATTAATCGTACAACTCTCGTAACTTTATATCATTGCCCCTACGCCCAATATGTTTCTCGTACTTCTACGAAACACCTTCATAAGGTTGTTCGGTTTTTTTTTTCCCTCAACATTGCTTTTTTTTCCTCCCAAAATCTGTTTGATAAATTTATGACTTGTCTTCATTTTCAAATATTTGTAAAACAGCACAACTGAAATTACACAATTTTTTTTCTTGTAGTTCTTAATTCTTGGATATTGCTTTTGGCCCCGTAATATTACAGTTTTATTCTTCTAATTTACAACTTTGTCGTTATAGATTACGTTTTTTTGTTTTTTCTTAGAAAGAAGACAACTCTGTTCTCTTCATTTCCCGCCCGAAATATTTATTATTGTAAAATTGCAAATTTATTCTAAACTTTATTTTTGGTACCAGGCATTTTTTTTCTCGCATTCAAAGTATCAGTAAATTATTTCATTATAAATCACAGATGTTATATCTCTGATATTTTATGTCTTTTTCAAATATTATAACTTTATTAATGTGACACTGTCACTTTTTTGCTGTAATTTTACTTTAGGATTTTTTTTTTTGCATTCCATTATTTTTTTAAAATGTATTTATTATTATATATATATATTTTTTACAAATTAACCTGTTACTAGATCATTTAACATATTTTAATGATTTAATGATTTTTTTTTAATGCATATTGAATGCAGTCGATGTGACTCGTTGCCGCGACTCGTGATTTACTGTAACAACCGCGTGAACCAAAACATACACACACTCTCAGACACTTATCAGCCCGCTGGCATGTTGATAGACAGCAGCGTGGCAAAAAATGCGCCGTTTGTATTGTGCGCCGCGTTGGGCGTCCAACACAAACGTGTGAGCTCCTTTCTAGTCGAATCAGACGCTGAAGCTTCCCAGCCCACATCGTCACCGGCGCAGTCGTACAAACACTCGAGTGGCCTTGAGAAGCAGCAGATAAAAGGACGAGATGGAAGCTGACGCTTACAGTGACACAAACACACACACACACACACACACAATATTGACGCGTATGTTAAGGCCACCTGGGATTTGGGCTAAAGTGAGACGCCCCCACCACCACCACCACCGAGCGGCAGGGGTCCTCGTTCAAAGGCAACAGGTGTCACATGACAGCACCTGGGATGTGCGTTTGCGTGTGTCTAAAAGCAGACTCCCAGGAAGTCCAGAGTGGAGCATATACACACACACACCCTTGTTTGGAGAGACCTTTTACAAATATGACACCACAACTTCAAATGATCTGAACGCGTGAAGCCGCAACAGCTGTTGCGCAATAACATGGCTCATATTGACGACGGCGGTGAGTGTTGCGCAACTTGCTGACCTCGTTGGTGTGCTCCCTATCGCCTGCGGGGGAGATGACGAGTTATTGATTTATCTGCTTTAGGGCACCATTAAAGCATGGATGCGTGACAATTGCTTTTTATGCGACAGTATCGGTTGAGGTCACACCTGTGCCCCCGCATTACGGAATACCAGTGAAGTGGCCTGGTGGACTTTGTCGGAATCCATTTGGAGGCCAGTTATACACATTATATAAAATGTGGAGCAATGATATCTTTTTCAGGTGGATTAAAAACTTTGGCCCACCGATCACACGGCCTATAGTAGCGTACAGCTGCTTGAGTGAAACCTTAATCAATAAAAAAGTCACTCGCTACTCTGTGACCGTCATTTCTGCCTAGCAACGGGCAACTAAGAGCTCATTGAAATCATCACTCGTCGCCACGCCCCTTTCGCCCACGTAAACCCCTCGAATTAGTCACGCACATTTACGATATATGCCACGAGGCCTTTTTCATTGAGGGAGTCGTGTAGTTGAAGGTGCAGTATGTTGACGAGCCAGACAAAAAAAAAAAAAGCCTCTGAGGAAATGAGGAGGACAGAGCGAGCGAGACCGTCTGACAGGCTTCTGGTGAAGCCCACATCGACTGTCTGCTCCAATTTCACACACACGCACGCGCACAAACACAGACGGGCCATCCGCTCCCAGCAGGTGGTGTTAAGAGGAGGTGTGAGCATCCGCCAGGGACTGCGTGCACACGATTAAAACACACACATCTATCTAAAGAAATGATTTTTATCTCATGACGTTTTTTTGAAATGGAAAAGATTTTATTTTATTTTTTTTACATGTGGAAAAATTAGTAGGCTTAATGTATTCAAGTTATTTATCCCGCCACACAAATGTACTGTTGTATTTGAATAGAAACGCTTCAAGGCTAAAAACGTGTGACGTGAGCATGAAGTAAAATGTTTGCGCTTTCTTCCTTGTTCTTCTGCGTGTTGTGCAGAATGTGACAAGTTGAGGAAAGATGGCTTCCGCAGCTCGCAGTACTACTCGCAGGGGCCCACTTTCTCCGACACGCCGCAGTCAGGCAGCAGCCTGCACGAGGAGGACGACGACGACGAAAAGAAGGTGAATGTCCATGTCAAAGTCTGTTTGGATGTCCTCCCGTACTGATTCAGTTCAACGGAGACGCTGGAAAACAGTGCTTGCCTGCCCTCTAGTGGCTGCCGCTGGAACATCCACCTTTGGCAGAACAAACAACTCTTCAATCATTTGAAGCATGTCTGTTTTTGTAATGTGGGTAGAAGCTCGGGCAGAATGAGCTTCAAACCCAGAATTTCTGAACCGTGAGCCAGTCGTGCTAACCACTGATCTCAGTCTGCCGCCCAAAGCCAAGTGTGTCAATTGATCTTTGGTTATGTGGACTCGTGTTCCCGCTGACTGACTGCGTGTCCACAGTAGGCAGAATCAGAGATGATTTTACATAATGTGGACACGACTTTTTAGAATATCAACATCCTCAAATGTGAGTGAGTTCATCTTCCCCAGTTCATGTATTCGTTTGCCATCTTTGACCGCCAGTCGCTGGCGTCGTCGGCAGAGGACGAACAGTCGCAGCTGTCCGCGAGGCCGCAGACGCCCAGCGACAAGGCCGACCTCTCGGAGGTCGACGCGACCAAAGCCCCCACACTGCCCACCCCGGAAGAGAGGATGAGGCAGACGGCGCAGGCCGTGCCCACCGACATCGTCGCCATCAACGTCACAGGTATGCCGGGACTTGGGGCGGGGGGGGGGGGGGGGGGGGGGGGGGGGGGGGGGGGGGGGGGGGGGGAGTGGGGTGTGTGTGTGTGTGTGTGTGTGTGTGTGTGCGGTTACAAGCTGTTGGGAAAATTGCGTCGGATTTTTGGTCGTGCGCTGGTCAATACATGGGCAATAGTATTGAGACTTTAAGTCCAAAAAAAAGAAAAAAAGGTCCAAAAATATGATAAAGATTTACGTAAGATGTAAAATAAAATGCCAAGTGATAATGTAAAGAAATAAAAAAAAACTTGTGAGAAAATTAAATAATTGAATTATGATGCAGAAAAAAATCAAACAGTATGAAAATACAAATAAATGCAATACAAAATAATATTCAGAAATATGAAATAATCCTATTACAAGTATTTGCAAAAAATTGCAAAAAACTGTCAAAATACTTTTCCCTAATCTGCCCTAGTTCTCTTCTCGAGCACATTTGCTTTTTATCATGAGAATATAATAATACTTTCATATGTCATATATTTTGGAACATTTATGAACGCGGGGTCCGGTTCAACTACAGGTGGATTTTTAAATTTTTTTAATGAAACGTCATCGCTATAAATTTTAACGTATGGTAAAATCCACATTGCGCAAGCTTTTGAAGGTCAAACTTGGGAAAAAAAAAAGAAAATGTCTCAAAATCCTGATGTGCGAGGAAAAAGTAAAGACATTTTTGAAATCAGTGTCAAAAATATGTTTAGGGCCACAAAGCCATCGGGGGATTGAAATTTGCCTTTGACCAGAGAAATATATACAATAAATCTAATACTAAAAAAAAAATTAACAGTAATATTGATCTACTAAATACTAAAATCATATTTTCATTGCTTAAAAAAAATTTCCCCCAAAATACTAACAAACCCCCTTTTATAAGAAACCATTTGGCCCCGTGAGTGTCTTTCCCATTGCATGCTTTCTTACGTTGACTGTTCATTGGGTGTTTGTTTTGTGGCCCACACAAAAAGCAAGCATCTTCCCCTGCTCCTCTTGTGGCATCTTCAAATCACCTTCACAATTTGCCTTGTTTGCGCCACAAGAGAAGCAAGAAAATGCCTCTCTTTTTTTTTTGTATGTGTGCCAGTCACTCACTCACTCACGCACGTTTACTTGAAGATAAACACACTTTTGTCCCCCCTGCATGTGCCTCCCCAACTTACCATTTGCCACTTGTCTTGTCTTGCCTGTGTGTGCGTGCGTTTCCGGCCCGGCCTCCTCCCGCCTACCTCCCAGGCGCCGTGTTTGACCGGCAGGCGAGTGTCCGGCGCTCCCTGGTTAGCACCGATACGGTGTCCCGCCGGCCCAAGAAGGTCACACGCAGAAAGACGATATCGGGGCTGCCCGACAACGTCGACCTGGAGCGAGGTACGCTTCACTGTGTGAATGCTGCCCTCTGCTGTATGTAGCCGTAAACTTCACCCCCCTTCCCCTCAAAAAAAAAAAAAAAAAGTGTTGGATTAAGTCCTGGTGCTTTCTCACTGATTTTTTTAAGGCCAGTGTCCTCTTTTTTTCCCGCAGCCACAGAAAGACGATATCGGGGCTGCCCGACAACGTCGACCTGGAGCGAGGTACGCTTCACTGTGTGAATGCTGCCCTCTGCTGTATGTAGCCGTAAACTTCACCCCCCTTCCCCTCAAAAAAAAAAAAAAAAAAAGTGTTGGATTAAGTCCTGGTGCTTTCTCACTGATTTTTTTAAGGCCAGTGTCCTCTTTTTTTCCCGCAGCCAATCCCTTTCTGCTGCTTTATCCTAATTTGCTCTACTTTTACTTCTTTGGAAATTTCTTAAACTCGGCAAGTTAACCTGACAACAGCTTGTGTGCAGCAATGCTTGACTAGTTTTACCCAGTAGACATTTCGATAGGCGCAATTGATTTTTTTAAATTAAATAGCTGCTATGGGACATGTCTAGGGCGGCGCGGCGGTCGACTGGTCAGCACGTTGGTCTCACAGTGCAGAGGTGCCGGGTTCGACTCCGGCTCCGGTCTTCCTGTGTGGAGTTTGCATTTTTTTTTCTTTCTTTCAAGTCTCGTATTACTGTTTATTTTACACATTTTCTTTTCTCTCATTAAGATGTCACATGTATGCATGGGACCGCATCATCAATATTTCGAGGATGTCTCATGGGACACACTGGAGTCGTATTTGTATTTATGCAGTTTTATTTCCTCAAGTAATCCTCCCAATAAAGGTTTTATCGGCTCCCCCCGTCCCTCTAAAGTGCAGCTGAATGCCGCATGCTTAATGATTATTTATGCCCCCCACCACCCCACCCGCCTGTGCAGCCGTAGCGCTAACGGGGAAAGAAGGGGAAAGTCATCCCTCTTTGCGATCGCATCCTGCTGTCTGACAGATACACGAGTCTTGTTAGCCTCTGAATGCCGCCGGTAATTGACCCTTTGGTGCATCCCTCTCCCCCCTCCCCCGTCTCCCCCCTTCCTCCCTCCCTGCTGCAGTTTAATGTAATACTGCAGCGATGTCCAGAGCGTCACTTTGATTGAGCCGGCGGTACGCTTCATGCGTGTCGTGGAAGTCCAGCATCCCCCCACACTCACCCTCCCCTCCACCCATGGACTGAAAATTGTTGCATTCCTCGCGTGTCAGTTGTACAGCTTGCATGTTGTGCTCCATGCATGACCGCTCAAGTGGCGCGTACGCACGTTCATGTCGATGCATGCGGATGGCCCGGAAACCAAAGGGACTGTTTGTTGACTAATGGGTGAAGGCTAAACTTATTAAGGAGTCTCCTCTCATATCCTTGCCTGCTTAACGAGCAAAACCAGAAGTCATTAACACATGAGAATTGGCAGTAAATTGAATTAATTCGCCACAGGGCAGTGGAAGTTGTTTTTCGTTGTGTTGCTTTTTAAAAAAATATGAACTGACGATATCTGGAGAAAAGTGTATTTTTAATGTGATCTCTCTCTATCCTGGATTTACATCCATTGGTGGTGGGCCTGAAACTTGTCCCGCAACTAACGGAGATACACTGCATTCAGGACTTTCATCAAGACAAATGTTTTTTTTAATATTTTCTTCTCCCGACAGCTGCGAAAGGACACGGCGGAGAGCTACGACCGCATTCCATGTTCATCCCGGGACAGTACTCCACGCTGGGCCGGGTGGGGAGTGTCAACTCCGCGCTCCGGCGCTCCCACACCCGCGATTCCAGCTGCCAGACAGAGGAAGTGAAAGTCGTCCCGCCGTCCATGAGGAGAATCCGCGCTCAGAGAGGACAGGGAATCGCAGCCCAGATGGCCGGCATTTCCACTTCCTCCTCCACCGGCAGCATATCCGCCTGCAGCAGCGACAGCTCCGGCATCCTGATGCTGCCCCGTCAGCGGGACGGCGACCGGTCACGATTCAACAGCCTCCCCCGCCAAGGCGCCAGGGTGTCCCTGAGCGCAGACCCCATCTACAGCAGCACCCCCGTCAAGGCGGAAGATCACGGCGCTCCGCTGAGGCAGATCGGAAAGCTCCAGGTGGACGACACGGCGGTGCACATGAGGAACACCCCGAGGACGTCCGCCCTGCCCAGACCGAGATCCCAGGAGTTGAGGCGGACGCAGTCCAGCAAGTCAGCCGGGGGTCCGGCCTGCGTGGTGTCGCCACACGCCGCCTATTCCACGTCGCTCATCCCCAACGCCACGCTGTCCAATTCGTCTGAAGTGGTTGCTCTCACCGCCTCGGGACAGCATTCCCACTCGCAGGCCTCCGCCTACCCGACGGCTCGGCCTCTTAGCCTGGCCTCCCGCGCGGACCCCCTCGTCCCCGCTTTCACCCACAGCTCCACCTGTCCGGCGTTGGCCACTCACGCGTCACTCGAGGGGAGTCGCGCGGCAGGAGCGCTCGCCAGCGAGCCGGGGAGCTCGGACGTCAGCGCGCACGGTCACGGAACCTCGGCGACCACGCCGCCGTCGCGTCAGACAGAGGATCAGTGGATCTACGACACGCCCGAAAACGAGGTGGTCCCGCACCAGACGCTGACCTCCAGCTCCTCCACTCCCATCAACCAGCTGTACGCCAGCCTGGAGGCGTCATCCCGGACAACCACCGATTCCAGCTCGCTCTACTCTCAAGACAACGACGGCTATTACACCTCCATGCACCTGGACTCGGGTCTGCGCTCACGCGACCACGGCAACGGGCCGACGGCCGGGCGGGCAACCAGACACAGCATGTACGAGTGCCGCGAGATGGCCGGTCAGGACGAGTACGGGAGCTTGTACAGGGATCGCTCCCTGTCTCGCAGCATTTCCCTGCGAAAATCTACAAAGCCCCCGCCGCTCCCAACTCGCACGGACTCCCTAAAAAGGAAGCCTGATCCCAAGAAGCCCCTTGGAGGCATTAGCGCCATCGGCGGTGCGACACAGTCCAACAACGGCAGACTCAACGAGAGTCTGATCGCCACCCTGCAGCAGAGTCTCCAGCTGGGGCTGAGGTCCGGCAAAGGCAAGGGCGCCTCGCCATCGTCGCCCTCGCACAGTCCCAGCAGCGACTACGACGACCCCTGGGTGCTGCGCCCGCGCAGTCAAAGCAGCGTCAGCGCCGGGAGCTCGGCGACGTCCCTTGGCGCGAGCGCCAACGGCGTGTCCAACGCCTACTCGCTTTGCCACGTGACCCCCACCCACAGCGATACCAGCAGCTTACGATCCGACTACGCCGACTCTTGGGGTTACTACATGGAGTACCCTCGCAACCACGGCGACCAGAGCGCGCAGACCCCGGCGGGTCTGACCACGGACAGCACGTCAACCGGATCTCAACCGGGGGAGGAGGAGAACAGAAGCGACGGGCGCAGTCGCGAAAGCCCGGCAACTCCGGTTCAGGAGGAAAGGGTGGCGGTGAAACCCAAAACATCCTCCCCGGAGCGAGTGCACAGACTGACTTCACCTTCCAGCGGCTACTCCAGCCAGTCCAACACCCCCACTGCCGGAACGCCGGTCCCCTCTGGCGTCAGGTCCATGTCCCCCTTGGGCAGCCGCCCCAGGCCCAAAATCCCTGAGAGAAAATCCTCTCTGCTCTCCTCAGTTTCCATGTCGTCTTCCTCCACCTCCCTCTCCTCCAACACCTCCGACTCTCTCAAGAGCTACGGACCTCCCATCCCGCCGCCCCTACCTCTGACCTCCTGGTCAGCTCCAACCACCCCCTTCAGCCCACCGCCACCATTTCCTCCCTCTCCGGCACCCAACGTGAATGTAGATTGCCCGCCGCAAACTCGGAGCCCGCCCCCGGGTTGCTCCACGTCCCCGGAATTTCCACCGCCACCCTCACCGGAAACGCTGTTCCACCCCAACGTGTCCCTCAACAGGCGCTTTAGTCCTCCGCCGCCACCTCCTCCTCCTGTGTACCTCGCGGTGCCTCCGCGACCTCCTCTGCTGCCCACTTCCACCTCGCCTCCTGTCGCGGCGGCGCCAAAAGCCGTGCTTCCGAACAGTCCCACAAAGTCGCCCGTGCTCCTCATCACGCCATTTGCCCTGCAGAGCGTTCATCTGCGCTCAGTGCGACGGAAGGAGAACGAGACCGATGAGGGGTCTCATTTCCAAGAGCAGCCCAAGACTGAGGATTTTGCCGCGGCGCCGGTGTTGAAGCTCTTAGACGAGCTGTCTTTGGAGCGCGGCATTGAACATGACACGCCCGATGGTCCCGCCGTCAGCGGGAAACCTGAGCAGCAGAGCTGCAACCGAATAGGAGAAGAGCAGAAAGCGGTGCCGAGCGACCGCTGCTCCCCCGTCAAACAGAAGCCCCCCATCATTGCCAAGAAACCCAAATTCTGTTTTGTCCTGCCGTTGAGCTCCCAGCCGGCGCGGGAAGTGATCCCGTCTCCGTGCGAAGACACGGACGGAGCGTCGCAATCACACCGCCACAAACAAGAGACAACAGAGGAGGAGACACGAGAGCGGGAGGAACAAAGTTCCACGACGTCCGCAGAAATCCGGGATGAGTGTCTTACCCCCACCAACTTGGACCGGGAACCCTTCCAGAACGGAGAGGCCCGCACCGACGAGGACGAGGACGGCACGAGCAGTCCGGTGGACTCCGTCAGCTCCAAGGAGGACGACGCAGGTTTGTCTTTTCACGTGATTTCCCTTTAGCTCAACGACTTCGAAACGCCGATGGCAGGAGACTCATTAGTTTAAGCCTGTTTATGGTAAGCGTGAATGGGGGGAGGAGGGTGAAATTCATTGGCCTTGCCAAAGCAAAGTAAGGCCCGCTTAAAGCCGGCAGCTTCTGAGGTTTAAGAAGTGGAGCGGGGGACGCCGCTTATCAGCACCGCGGCAGCGTTCTTCATCCTCTTCTTAGCTTTTTCACCCCCGCATTGCCTTTCCCCTTTTGGCAATGTTCACGTCGTGGACTCCGGGGGTACCTCAAATCAGCTAAGATAGGATCATCCCTCATCCCAAATCAATTTTCCGCGTCGGCCTCATTCATCATCGCGTTCCCTTACGACATCCAGACAGAGATCGGGCACCCTCTCCCCATCGGAGTTGAAAGTTAAAAGCTAGGCGGGCATGACATCACAGGAACCAGTGAAGGGGTTTATTGCGAGTTGCGTTTGCCTTGGGGAGCTATTTTTAACTTTGACCTCAACAATGAGGGAAGTGTTTACAATGGTCCAAAATAAGTACCCTTGCAAGACCAAAGTCGTGTTCGTATCTGATTTTCCATCACAGATGATGACTGCGTGTTTTGCTGTAATTATCAAACCGGACCACCAGGACGGACGTTCATAATCTTGACGCTCCAGTCCTTTTCCCGCACATTTTATGTCCTGCTTCCTATCTCTCTTTTAAACCCCCCACGATTGGGTTTAGCATCCTAGTGAAAAAAGCTTTTCATGGCACTCGGGAAAGGGGGAGGGGCTCCCTGGCATCACTGGGAGGGAGGGGGATTAAGCGGACGCGAGCGTGTAAAGCGCTGGCAGCCGGCGGCTCGGGCACATCGGGACGACGGAGCGGCTTGTGAGCGGACGAGGGGGGAGGATGTAACTCGGCATGCGTGTTTGCGCCCGGCAGGCGACGTGTTTGACTCCAACACGGACGAGAGGTCGCCCTCGCCGTCGCTCAACAGGACCCCAGAGACGGGGAGCATGGTCACCCCCACTCCCACGCGGACCACCGAGGACCTCTTTGCCGTCATCCACAGGTACGAGCGGGGAAAGCCACACTCGTTTCATCGGTTGCGGGGAAGGTCACTGTCGGAGTCGTGTTTTGCTGTGTCAGTTTGTGCTTCTCTTTTTCGGTGGTAATCGTTCTTCGCAAAGGATAAAGAATATATGCTTGTGTTGTTGTACACAGTATGTGCAATTGTCGTTGTTTTATGTTTACTTCAATAGTAAATTCTCAACTGGGGGTGGCATTAAACCACCACAATTTTTTTGGTGCTCACCCTCTGCCCAACAGTTGAGTTCACTGCCATGTATGTCGAGTTTCTGGCTTGCAAGTCAAGGCAAAAAAAAAAAAAAAAAAAAAAAATTTTACAACAGGGGATCCCAACTTTAAAA